GTTTTTTGCATATCAACATAAAATTTGTTATGAACAATATTTCATCGTCGAAATTTCACCACATTCCATAGAGTTGGTATTGAAAAGAAAAGAGTTCTAGACCACTTAATTTTTCTTTCAAATTTTGCTCCAAATTTCTATACAGTACCAAAAAAATGCGCTGTGTAGTTCAATAAATTAATTCGATTGCAAAACGTTATCTTTTTTTATTACAATCTATTGTAAAAGTCTTTTCACAAGCGAAGCTTGATATTTATCGAAATCAGCATTTACCTGAGGTGTGAACTTGCCGCAAAAGAATAAGCAGAATAAGAAAAAATGTTCAAAAACAGCTGGAAATATGTACTTTTGATGAGGATGTGGTTTCCCCTCAAAAAATGCATGTTTTGAAAAGGATTGACGTTGATTTTAACTAGAGTTATTCACAAAGAATTTCCCCCTTTGATATATCATCGTTTAGTGAGGACTATGTTTCTTAAGAATCTTTGCGCGGCGGACAAGTTGAGAATCAAAATGATTCTCACCATTTGCAAAGGGTTAAAAGAAACAAATCGTTGTGATAATTACATTCTTCATTTGAGTGAAGCGCTTATTTTCGCTCCATGTACTTTGGTATTGATAACTGCCTCTTAACCTTTATAACCAAAATGTTGCGTGACTTTTCTTATTCGTTTAGCTTCACGGAGTGAAACGCATTTCAGAAGCGATGAAGATGCGCATATCGATCTTTTACCATATCAATATAATACCTGCTTGGTTTACAGCCTTGAGAAGAATTTGATAATTGTCCTAAAAATGCTTTAAAATCGACTTGTGATCATGTCCACTTCGCTAATGGAGTTTTCGTCGTTGAACGTAGAGGGCAATACTTTTCAGTTCCCTCAAAATTAAACTCTATAACTACCCCCACAAAAGTTAATCAACAATTTATTGCGAAAGGTAAAAGACAAAAGCAATGTAAGTGGAGATTCGATGAATGATCGTCCCACACAGTTCAGGAATACCGGCACCACCTTCTTATGTGCCGACTATTGAAGAAAACGATAATGGGGAAATTATGACATTCTGGCAGAGAGCGTTTAATATTTATATGTATATTGGGGCAGTTGTAATTCATCGTTGGAGCACGGACATGATGACACAGGTTTTTTGACTTTATTCTACTTATAGTTGGTTTTATCCGAAAAGTCAGATTTCAGATCTTTCGAAATATCGATCCCAGCTTTCCAAATATTCGTGAGATCGCAGCAAATGCCAGTCTGTGCTTTGTAAACGTTGATGAGATGTTTGACTTATCAAGACCGATAATTCACAAAAATATTTACATTGGTGGTTTAGGAGTTGACAAGCCTAAGCCACTTGACCAGGTATATTTTGATATGACATACAGCACATCTACAGCGAAATATTTCCCACATCGAAAAGCTGTCAGAGACTCTCTGATAGATTGCAATAACTTCGTTTGCTTTGGAGTCTTTTTTAAGAGCTTATGCAGAAGTTGGGATGTTTCTCTAGCATTTGGCGCACAATTGTGTTGAAAACAAAAACAATTAGCGATACTTTTTGGTCAAAAGAAAAACAAATGAATATTCGACCTCATTTACCTTAGAAAAACTTTTCATGGGAAAGTTAGTAAAAGTTAGTAAAAAGTAATCTTTCGAAAGCTTAGATCTCTGGCTATAGCCGTACGTGACCGATTCTCGTAAAGACCCTTCTATAACACTGTAAAGTTCAAAGTAAGATTATGTTATATACGTGCATATTTCTCGCTGGACAGAGCTCTTTTTAGACTATTAGTAACCATTCAATACCGTTGGATTGCAAAATTTCAGCATTGTGCTTATTTCTGGAAAAAGCCGGTTCTCTTCAGTGCAGAAGAGAGAATAAGTTTAAATTCGCATACCCGGGCAAGGCGATTTTGGCTTTTCTACGTCAACTCGTCGATCGATCGATTGACCCTTCTGCTTGTAATGGGGAAGTACGATTCTTGTTATTTAATTAGAAATCGCTTCTCGGAACTCCGCTCATCTCGTGCTCCCAGCTAAGTAAGTCGAATTGCCCCGCCGATGTAAGAACATAGTTTTATCTTGAATGTTGCAGCGGTATACCAGGGTCTATTCTAAAATAGGCTAGATAAGGCTCCAGATAGAGATTAGAGCTTTCGAATGATTATTAGCACTCCTGTGAACAATTATCGTACAGCGAATGAGGCCAAATAATTCTTTGTTCCCTTATAACCGAAAATAAGTCAATTTGCCATAATTGTAGTGCTTATTGCTCAGTGTGCGGCAAAGGCGCTTACAGGTGTGCTTTTCCCATTGGTGATTCGTTATCGTTTCTTATGTTTTCGTCAAGCTTGAGTAAAATATCCACACAGTTAATCTCACATTCGGAAGAAAAGTAGATTTCAAAAATAAAATACATAAGGCAAGTAATGACCCGCAGTAGATGGTCCTTTAGTTTCATCATTTTATGATGTGGAATTCTTGCATGAAAAATACTTTTTAGAAATTCTCTACTTTAATGGAGAGAGGAAAAAAAGGTGTGATCATCGTCTCGTTGGGTACCCTTGCTCCATTTCATGCATTCAAACGAGCCACGAAACTCGCATTTGCAAATGCGTTCAGATCGATGCCGGACTACCATTTTATATTAAAAATTGAGAAAAGTGAGATGCTTTTGTTTTATATTATAGTCTTCGAATTATGTAGATCATTTTGAAAGAGTGACAACCGTTTACTTGATTCTACTCTAGGATAAGAAAAAAAAAGTGCTCAAGAAAAAGACAAAGCAGTGATTTTGGTAGCTATCCCACGGAACATCCTTTTTTATATGAAGCTTTCGTGAGATTGGTATCTTCTCTAGGAAACGATGGCTAGCATTTTGGCGATTTCGCTTTTTTCAAAGCCTTGGTGGTGTTGTGATAAGACGTGAGCTCCTCTAAAGAATGACCGCGTGCAGAGGCCCATCCACCTCTCAGAGTTTGCTCGTATCTCCGCATTCTTGTGGTTGCACTGTGGGATAGCTATGCCATCAATGAAACGATTCCGCTTATCGTGCTACTGTTGCTAAGTGGTTCCGTCACAGTAAATTTAAAGTACTGTTTTCATCATTCACAGTTCTACACTTCCACTTCACTATGAATGCGCCTCTCAGTTTCACGAAGAATCCTGCGGGCACTGTTTTTTGACCGACATGTTCCGTACTTGCTAAGATTTTTCAAGCTCCCTGCCAATGAGAATTCCACCAAGCAAGTGTTTGTGAAATTAAACCAAAGTTGTCCGGGATCAAATAGCTTCCGACCTCCTACCAGTCGGTAAATGCTGTTCCTGCATGTGGTGTAGGCCTGAAAAAGCCCTAGAGAACAGCTTCTAACCATATTCCGATATCACAAGTTTTTGGGCAACAGCCGAATCCACGAGAGAAAATTGTGACCATTGTGGGATAGATCCTTGGAAACGAACAGAGTTCAAGAAGTGCTGTGGATCCTCACTCGTTGTGTAGAAAGTTGCGACTTTGTCCTGTCAGGGTTCTTAGTCTTGATTACTTCCAGTGGTTTGTCATTTTGTACCAAATGAGGGAGATTTACCATATTGAAACTAGGTTTTTTTTGACAGCAAGAACAATTTTTCATACGCAGTTTTTCGCACTTCAAATCTGTTTTTTAGATGATACAACGACACAGTCGTTTTTCAGTGATGTTTCTAATTGCGACTTAGTGGAATGGCTACCGCAAAGCGACGTACTGGGTTAGTTTGTCAGGTGTAATCACAGCGTTCAAAAATTTTACTGCTAACAGTTCGCATCTCCTCACTGAGCCAACTTGATTTTCAATTCCAAAGTGAGCAATAAATAGGAGAATCGCTCTGCAGGAAAATTTGAAGGTTTGAATCACGTTAGAGAAAAAATAAATTTTCTTGCTGAATACTTCGGGCATTCAATATTTTCTCTCAAGCGATGCGGCATCCACCAGCCAGGTCTCGATTCTTTCAATGTTAAAAAATTGAGTGTCAGAATTGTCCGAGAATCTTGCTTTGATGCACCGTAGTAAAAACCTGAGAGCACTTAAATAGAGATATTTTTGGATTCAAGAAAAGTCGGCGGGAGATAATTGTAGAAAAAATGTCAAACGCGAAATGAGACCATGCACACATTCGGGAACCTCAGCGGATGACGGGTACAAAATAATGAACTGAATGAAAGATCTGCTGAATGTCTGGCGATATATGGAGACGTGTCATATGAGTCGAGAAATGGGAAAAATCTTGTCAGTGAAATATCTGAAGTTTGCCTTTTGTTAATGCTACTTCTCGTTCATTTAGCGCATCCTAGACTGAAGATATTTGTGATGCATGGCGGCATAAATGGTCTAATGGAGGCGATGCTACGAGCTGTGCCGGTGGTGGTAATTCCCATATTCGCCGATCAATTTCGCAACGGTCGAAATGCTGAAATTCGTGGTGTGGGCAAGGTCGTATCCTTCTTCAATCTTTCCATAAAACACGCTTCTCCACTATAACAATATGTGAATTTCGTAGATTTGTAGAATTTCTGAAATTTTCTTTCCCAGTTTGATATCTCAACGATGAAGGTATGTTAACCCTTCAGTGCTCAGTGCTGCCCGTGCACAGTTATTTAGTGTAGACAAGAAGTACAAGCTCAAGCATTGTAGAGCAAACCAAGCTGCAATCACAATCTTTTGAAAAAGGTGCTCAAAAATGGTTGTCATGTTTAGGTAATCTTGAAATCGGATCTGACTGAAAACACAATCAAGTCCACCATACGTGATGTTCTCGAGAACGATAGGTAATCATTCTCATATAAAGCTTTCACGTTAAACGTTTCGTCCTTTTTCTTATAGCAGAGGCGTGCTTATAAAGTTTGCGATAGTTAATTATGATATTGAGTCTTTCCAAAGCGTCTAGTATTTTTAATGCATTTTTTCGCAGTGTTATGATCTTTCATATAATCCTAAGAAAATTGAGTGGAGAGCAGAAACACGGCCTCAGACGGGAATCGAACGCGCGTTTTATCCTATCCGGGAACGCGTGCTGTACCATTACACCACCGAGCCACATTTGCCCAACCACTCATTCTTCAGCATATCTATGTTAGCTATCAGCCACTAACAGCCAACAGTTTGGTCGGGTATACGATTTTCTGTTCGCCACTCAATTCTCTTGAGAATACTTGAGTGGTCATAATACTATGAAGAATGCAGTGAAAAATACAAATTTAACAATGGTTGAGCTGCTTTTATCACTTTCGTCAGCAAGCTTTCGTAGAGTTGAAGGTGATATATCATTTCTGTTACAGCTTTTGGTTATCGGCGTTATTAGCAGAAGAATTCGCGCTACCTTCTTCATTCTCAAGAACGAAGGCGACAAAATTTTCTAAACCAAGTCATTGTCCGCACGATAACACTTCTAGGCCCTACTCTTCATCAGTGTTTCGAGTTGCTAAGCTGCTCTACATTCCAGCTTGATATTGTTTGAGTAAAGTTGTCAAAAGTTCAACTTCGACCTCCAAAATTTGTGGACAGCATGATTCAAAATTTAATCAAATTGTGCGAAGCTACAGTGGAAAGATGAAGTCACAAATCGGCATAAAGTTTACAAAGTCCTAATGAGAAATTGCAAGCTACTTCTTATGGCTTAGCATACAAAGGAGTGATTCTCCAGCAAAGTTTGCCATAAAAATAGCTTATCACTTGCATCGTGCTTGAAAGATTTGTTCGTGATTGTACGTTCAATGAAAAATATGCCTGTTATCATAATATTGTAATAAACTCTTTACAAAAACGCAAACTTTCATACGGTTGCAATACGCATGTAGAGCTGTCACAAAGAGGTTGATAACCTTAAGCATCAGATTAGGCAGCCTACGAAATGTTTAAAGACTTTTGTGAAGGATGCATTAAAGGATACGAATTAAGTGCTAAATGTTCTAGGAACCTCGCATCAAAACGTGATATGTATTCAACATGAATTTTTTTAGAGTGCTTTACAGCGGTACATGCCCAATGATGATGAGTGTTGTGCAAAACTCTGACGCCAGGAGGTACTTGAATCCGCATTTCAGCGTTTCTGAAAGGCGCGTGCTTAAGCAATTGCAATATCGACGCCTGTTTTACCACCATTCGTTCTACGCTAAAACGCATCTATCTGTCAGCTACCAACTGTCAACTGGCAAGCCATGTTGGCACTGATCTCAGTTACGCTGATAGATAGTGGATATCTGTGATTAACAAGAATTCTTTTATTCTACTTTTTAGCGTTGGTGTGATGCTGCGATCCCGGAAAGGGTAAAATACGGGCTCGAGCCCCACTTGACGTCAAAGTTTTTGCACATCACTCAAAATGTAATGTTAGACTGTGCAAAAATATGCGTATTCTTTTAGATATAAGACCAGTGCCGTTCGTTTGTCAAAACTTATGTCAGAAAAGCCGTTCTCACCTGAAGAGCGGCTTATACAATGGACAGATTTTGCTGTTCGACATGGAGTGCTTGATGTACTACACGTCCAGGGTTCACGAATGAATTCTATAATATATTTCAATCTCGATGTTTTTGCAGCTATGATCTTTGTTTTGTGTATTATTCTATTCACTCTTTACAGAACTTTTAATGCTATTTGTTCCCGTAACCGTAGTACAAAATTGAAACGTCAATGATTCAACGAAATCTCAACACTTGCTGGTAGATCCCTCCATTTTCATTTCATATTGCTTGAGATTTAGGTGCTCTCCGTAGCCCACTCTCACAATGCCCACGATCAAAAATGATTGAAGTGATTGTTCCAGGAATTTTTTAACATGTTAGGCTACCTGGAAATTGAAGATGTCTCTTCATTCTATATATACATGTATGTTAAGTAATCCAATTTCCAAGAAATCACAGCAACAGCAACTCTTGTTCGGACTATTCATACTATATTAGACCTCAAAAAATCTACCTTTCTCAACCAATAATAACGTATCTTCACCATGTTGTATTTGCAAAGTTGCACAAAGTTCTTTTGACAAAAGTCTTTTTTGTGGCTGATGTTTTCGTGTCGTCGCCCTCTCAGAATCACAAAGATTTGATTTAAGTATCCAGATCAGTTTTTACCTGTCATGTGTTTCCTCGTATCCTATTGGTCTCATCGAGTCAGTTCCAGTTGAGCGGAGCACCATACAGATGCGGTACTCCTAGTGAGAAATGCACCTACCTTAAACAGAGCCGTCATTGACTGATTGTCTTTTGATGGTTATTTATTTTCTCGACGACAGTTCATCTTGTAGCAGTCCGTTTCATAGCTGAGATCGTGGAAAAGATCCTTTGCCGCGTTACAGAGGGGAATAGACGTGCCAAAGTGTGTACCGACTTTCAAAGAACAGACTCTCCCATCTAGATAAAGAAATAGAAAATCAGAATAAGCAGAATAAGTAGCGTGTCTTAGGACAAAGGATAGAGAGCAGCCATTAGCGATTACCTTTTTTTAAGATGTAAAACATATAGTGGGGAACACCCACGACTTAATAATTGTGATTTTCCAAGAAACCCTAAGAGATAGATGTCAAGCTCCACATATCCTTACAGAACCTAGCGGAATACTCTTACGGGAGACAGGGGCAGAAGAAGAAATTTCCTCGTGCCACCTTCAGTGGCTCGAAGATAAAGGCGAGGATAGGTGATACAGATCAGTGGACAATAAAGTAGATTATACAATCGTATGAAGCGCTCTTGATCTTTGATCGAGGATGTAGTGAAGAGGACAAAGAATATCCGACTCCATGCCTACCTTTTCGACTCGACGATTATTCCTGCCCTAACATATGCAGCGGAAACCTGGTCGCCACGTAAGCAGGTTGAAAGATCACTTGGCGTTATTGAACGCACGGTCGAAAGTCGATGCTATTAGTATCCCGTATCTTGCAAATGAGAGAACCGATCCGAATTTCCGACTTGTGTCAACGATCGAAGATCAGAGGCGCCGTTCTACACGCCAGTATATCAAAAATGAGCTGGGTTGGACACGTGATGCGCTTCAATGACAACCGATGGACGAAAGCCGTTATCGACTGGATTTCTCGGTTTATGAAGCGCTGTACAGGAAGACTGCCGATCCGACGGTTCAATTTCTTCACGAAAGGCATAGAAGAAAGGTATGATGCTCAACGAACCTTTAGAGCAAGGGGGAACCGCTGGGCCACTCTTGCACGCGATACGGAAAATGAAAGTGTTGCCGGGATCGCTTGAGTCACTCAACCATCAACGGGACGACAGGTGATACAGTTGGTCACGCGTTTCAAATCTAGGCTAAATTCTGAATAAGTTTTCTGATATATATATATATATATTATATATCATCCAAATTTGAAAGGTCCTAATATAGCAAACCTCCCAACGAAGTTTTGCTATCTTTCGGGAATTACGTGATAATTTAGGTAGCGCAGATGGTCCACGACTTTAGAGAGCAAGGTTCGAGGACCTTGGACAGAAAACGGTCCAGGTGGCGAGGGCGGCACCCAGCTGCCACCAACCTCAACAGGCAGTTCGATCGACGGGCATCATCCGAACGGTCGTCTGACAACTCCGGGACCACCTCACCTCATTTCATTGCCAACTCATTATTGCTTTCCTCACATAGTCTCGTTATCATGTAACTAATTGATATCATAAGGTTGAGTTCATACAATTGTCAGGTGAACTCAATAGATTTGTGAGCGGAACATATCACGAACGTGGCGGAGCAAACTCACTTAGGCTATGCTCGGCCCACCACCTCGGTTAAGGGTTTCTGCCCATATATAATCAGTAGCGACCTCACTGCTAACACTATATACTCACCCACTGGATCCCGCCTCCGGTGTTCTACTTGGGGGCGAACATAGCAATCCCAAACGGGCTCCGCCGCCTAGCCATGCTCCGTTAATAACAACATTCATTGTATCGTCTCATTGTACACGACGATGCATCTCATCAATCACATTCACTTATTCATATTATCGTCACAAGACGAAACATCACATTCACAGACATATGTTCACATAACGAAATGTCGTAATCGTATGTATATTGTTCCTATGTTATTATTACAGTAATGTATGTATATTATAGGTTGTTTGGTGGTACCACTTCATTGTTTGGTTTCACCAAATTGTTTTGTATAACCCATATAAAGGATTTGAACTTTGTGCTCTTGTCGCTTACAAGAGACAAGTTGGCAGAAGACACGGTCACACAGACCAAAGTTCAGCCCGTAGCAACTTGGAAGGGCAACCAGCCACATCAAAGGGCAAAAGTCGCCGCAACACGGAAGTTCGACGCGAGCAGCACAAAGCATGCGCCGCTAAGGACAATCTAACCATATTCAGATATCGATCGGGTTACTGCCGGAGACAAATCCAGGGACCACACAGCAAAAACCACTGAACCTCCACCACACCTGACATTTACTCATGCTCTATTCTTATTTGAATTTTAGATTCGCTTTTCACTTTTCGGTGATACAGACCTGACATTGAATGGGAGCGAACTAAGAATGTAGAAGAATCGAAATTCACTTCATTAAAGAGCAGTAGACAAACACTGCAAGACATCAACCGTTGTAGCAATGTTCATTGATAAAAGATATTTTTCAAATTTTATCATTGCTATTTATGTATATCTTACTATATCATACATTAAAACTCAAAACTTAAGCGTAATAAACGATTTTTTCAACTTTTTGAACCAACTATCTCGCTGCTGCCTTTGCTCTCCTGAGTTTTTTCAATAGTGCACTTCGGTGCATCATCCTGCAAAATGTTTACTAACTATCGTCAATTTTTGCTCCTTGCTGTTTTTTCTGGCAGATTTTAAGCTAACAAATGAAGCAAGGAATAACTGAAATAGTTTGCAAAATTCTCCGAGAAGTTACAGCTGATCAATTAGTTACTGATCAAATTTTTGCATCTCGGTACCGGCATAGTTTTAACATTGCGGACACTGTTTTGTTGCGATTCTTTCGCAGTTACACTAGTCGAACCATGGTTGAAGATAAAAGCAAAGAGAGAGAACCTTATCGCAATCATATTCCGGCATTACGTT